GCGAACAAATTTTTTTTATCAGAGTACCACATAGAAGGGTACAACCTTTTTCACAAGGATAGGGAAGGTAGGAAGGGGGGAGGGGTCGCACTCTTCGTCAAGGATACATTAAAATGTTGTATTAATAATTCAATAAAGAGTGAAATAGGAACCGAGTCTGTATGGGTAGAAATCACGGAAGGAAGAGAAAAACTAATTATGGGAGTGATTTACAGGCCCCCAAGTCTTGGGAAGGAAGCAGCTCAGACCATATGGCAGGAAATGAGTAGGGTAGCAAAATATAATAACCTGTGCATTAAGGGGGATTTCAACTTCAGAAATATTGACTGGGACAACATTGTAGGCGACTATGAATCTGAAGACTTCCTAGACGCAGTACAGGATAATTTTTTGAAACAACTAATTACAGAACCTAGTAGAGGTGACAACATATTAGACCTAGTATTAACAAATAAAGAAACTATTATCAGAGATATCACAGTAGGGGAAGAACTAGGTAACAGTGATCACAGAGAAATCAGGTTTACCCCAAATTGGGAAACGAAAAACAATGGCAATATGGTCAGGGTCCCAAACTTTCGGTTGGCGGATTATCAGGGATTAGAAAGGTACCTACGTAGGTGAAATCACCTGGGAACAGTCACGTCAGTCACCAGTAGGAAGGGGTGAGGTCATAGATGACACAACAATTGATCATGACACAATAATTGATCATGACTATAATATATTCACTATTATACTACATAAAGCACAAGAACAAAATATACCATACAGAAAAATTAGGTCAAATAAGAATGAGCCAAGGTGGATGACCAGAAAACTTAAACATGATATTGGAATAAAGAAAGGAATATATAAGAAATTAAAGGGAGGGGAGGAGCAGCTCAGAAATAGGTATAATGAACTATCTAGGAATGTTAAGAAAAATGTAAGGAAAGCAAAGAGAGACTATGAAATCAAAATAGCAAGAGAATCCAAGACGAATCCCAAGGGATTTTTCCAGGTATATAGAACAAAGGTCAAGGACAAAGTTGGGCCTTTAAAGTCAGGGAGGGGAGAAGTGATAAAAGGCAGTGAAGAAATAAGCAAAGCATTGAACAGCTACTTCTTTTCAGTTTTCACAGAAGAAATTCGCGATGAAATTCCAGAGGTGGAACTGATATTTAAGGGAAATGAAGAAGATAAATTAAAGAATATCGCTATCAGAAAAGAGGATGTTCTTAAGAAGAAAATAAACTAAAGAAGACATAATCCCCAGGGCCGGATGAAATTTTCCCTCCAGTCTTGAAAGAGTGTAGGGAACAGATTAGCGGACCCCTCGTAAACTTATTTACAAAATCATTAGACACCGGAGTTGTGCCAGACTTGTGGAAACAGGCAAATGTAGTACCCATATTCAAAAAGGGAGACAGAGCATCAGTGTCAAATTACCGGCCGATCAGTTTGACGTCAGTAGTGGGGAAATTTCTTGACTCAATTATAGCAGATAACATCCGATCGCATTTAGAGAAAAGCAAATTAATCTACGACTCCCAACATGGGTTTACAAAGGGAAAATCTTGTCTAACAAATCTGCTGACATTTGTTAGGAATGTCTTCGAGGTAGTAAATAATGACGAAAATTACGATGTTATTTACTTAGACTTTAGCAAAGCATTTGACAGAGTACCGCATTAGAGGCTTCTGAGAAAAATTAAGGCTCATGGTATCGAGGGGAAAGTTTTAAATTGGATAAAATCATGGCTCACCGATAGAACACAGAGGGTCAGCGTAGATGGTGTTAAATCTGATTGGGGTTGTGTAACCAGTGGGGTTCCCCAGGGGTCAGTACTAGGCCCACTCTTGTTCATAATCTACATAAACGATCTAGATACTGGGATCAGCAGTGACATAAGCAAGTTTGCGGATGACACCAAAATAGGGCGGCAGATTAATTCAGGGCAGGATGCAAATGCATTACAGGAGGATCTAAAGAAACTGCAGGGGTGGTCTGAAAAATGGCAAATGAAATTCAACACCAGCAAGTGCAGTGTACTTAATATTGGAAGAACAAATACTGTCAATGTATACAGCCTTAACAACATCAACCTAGAGAAGTCGACTTGTGAAAGAGACCAAGGGGTACTTGTAAGCCCGGACCTACGGCCTAGAAATGAGTGCGTTAATGTTCGAAATAAGGCAAACAGAGTATTGGGTTTTATATCTAGAAGTGTAAGTAACAAGAGTAAAGAGGTCTTATTGCAACTATATCTTGCGCTAGTCAGGCCGCACCTCGATTATGTGGTTCAGTTCTGGTGCCCTTATTATAGAATGGATATCAATTCACTACAGTCGGTGCAGTGAAGAATGACGAAAATGATTCCGGGACTTAGAAACCTTCCATATCAGGATAGTTTAAAGAAACTAGACTTGCATTCCCTAGAAAGACGAAGAGTGCGGGGAGATATGATAGAAGTATTCAAGTGGGTGAAAGGAATCAATAAAGGTGATATAGATAAAGTTCTTATAATATGTGAGCAGGATAGGACTCGGAACAACGGATTCAAGTTGCGTAAGTTTAGGTTTAGGATTAAGATAGGAAGGAACTGGTTTACAAATAGGGTGGTGGACGAGTGGAACAAGCTTAGCAACTTTGTAGTAAGTGCTGGAACGCTGGAAAGTTTCAAAAGGAGGCTAGATAGATTTTATCAAGATATATATTTATATATATATATATATATATATATATATATATATATATATATATATATATATATATATATATATATATATATATATATATATATATATATATATATATATATATATGCAAGTAAATCACTGTAGGTGCGCGTGATCTAGGTATATGCTGATAACCACAGGGAAAGAAGAAAACACGAAGTTCCCAAGCGCTTTCGTGTAATTCACAAAAGCAGTCCTTGACTTTGTTATATGGATCCTCGTGTTTCAAAGCCGGATTTGGTAAAACGTTACTCTGACCACCTACGTGATACGGGTGGTCCCCATTAGAGGTTCACGGCGCCATAAGCTCGTTGAACAGGCTTTGTGTGAAATATAACAAAGTTCTAGGACTGCTTTTGTATCCTGGTGGTCCAGCGGTTAGCGTTCCTCGGTCACAGTCATAGGCTTGTGGGCCGTGGGTTCGAATCCTCGCGGGTTGAGGTGTTGATTGTATGTAGAAGTCCGCGTGCTTTATTGGGCTAATGAAATATATATGGATCCTCGTGTTTCGAAGCCGGATTTGGTAAAACGTTACTTTGACCACCTATGTGATACGGGTGGTCCCCATTAGAGGTTCACGGCGCCATAAGCTCGTTGAACAGGCTTTGTGTGAAATATAACAAAGTCTATGACTGCTTTTGTATCTTGGTGGTCCAGCGGTTAGCGTTCCCCGGTCACAGTCATAGGCTTGTGGGCCGTGGGTTCGAATCCTGGCTGGTTGAGGTGTTGATTGTATGTAGAAGTCCGCGTGCTTTATTGGGCTAATGAAATATATATATATATATATATATATATATATATATATATATATCACTGAAGAGTGCACTGATCCAGAGTATATGCAATGCTTACAAGGAAAAAACACAAGTTCCTAAACTCGTGTATTCACATCCTTCAGTATATATATATATATATATAATCAACACCTCAACCCGCCAGGTTCAGGCCCGGCCCACAAGCCTGGTGGTCCAGCAGTTAGCGTTCCCCGGTCACAGTCATGGGCTCGTGGGCCATGGGTTCGAATCCTGGCAGGTTGAGGTGTTGATTGTATGTAGAAGTCCGCGTGTTTATTGGGCTAATGAAATATATATGGATCCTCGTGTTTCGAAGCAGGATTTGGTAAAACGCTACTCTGACCACCTACGTGATACGGGTAGTCCCCATTAGAGGTTCACGGCGCCATAAGCTCGTTGAACAGGCTTTGTGTTATATAACAAAGTCTAGGACTGCTTTTAGTATCCTGGTGGTCCAGCGGTTAGCGTTCCCCGGTCACAGTCATAGGCTTGTGGGCCGTGGGTTCGAATCCTGGCGGGTTGAGGTGTTGATTGTATGTAGAAGTCCGCGTGCTTTATTGGGCTAATGAAATATATATATATATATCACGTTGCTTAAAAAAAGACAATTAAACAGGTTTTGTGTGAAATAAAACAAAGCCTAGGATTAATTTCGCTGTCCTTGTGGCGTGGTGGTAGCGATCCCTGTTCACACGCTGAGGTCTAGGGTTCGATTCCCGATTAGTTAGGTATTGTGTGTATATGGAAGACCGCATGCTTTTTTTTATTACGATGGGGAAAGGATAGAAGGCATGCTGGGGCTTAGGACATAGCCAGACATGAGGGATAGAGAGGTCACAACATATTGTCGTGGGGGAAAATGTTGGAAAAGAAGTTTAATGAGTTAAACAGAGGGGGACGACACCCCTTGTTTCACATATTACAGAGTTTGTTGGCTAACTAAGCTAACCTAGGATCACTGTGGCAGACATAGACAGCTCGCGGGTTGGGTTATTGTAGTGCTGGCAAACTCAGTGGCTACCAGGTGTGGTGTCGGTTGGGTTGTGTTGGGATAGATTGGATTGAGTTACAATATATCAGGTTTGGTTGAATTGATTTAGGGCATATATGGTTTTGAAATCATTTCACTAACTAGCCATAGTGAATGCCGTGTTCAATAACTGGAGAATTTAATTCTTATTGATGTTATTTATATTTTTTTACTTTCTCCATTTTTCTAGATAATTGTAGCCTCAATACCTCATTTTCATTGTCTCTTGGTATTGATAGACTAATACACAAACACAATTAAGACAAACATGTCATTCTTTCCAATCAAAACAAGTTTCTTGTCTCACCGTCTTACAAAAGACTGACTGTTACGTGAGGGGGAACGCCAGCGGTTTTGGAATATTTATGCTGGCGGTATTTTATGATTGAGCATTGACTCAGTAGTAAGAAAAATGTTAACAGTAGTAACAGCATGAAATGCCTTTGTTTACTTACCATCAAGTGTTGGTAACAGGAGGACTCCTCCACACAACCCAGCAGCCACCAACAACACCAGGGACGTCACTACCATCACCGCCTCTCTAATATAACTGGAAGTAAAGTATATGAACGAATGATAAATTTAGTTATTTAAAGAACAGATTAACCATATATATATATATATATATATATATATATATATATATATATATATATATATATATATATATATATATATATATATATATATATATATATATATATATATATATATATATATATATATATTTCATGTAGCTCCACAATGAAAACATGGATAATATAAATCTTGATAAAATCACACGGGGAAAAGGGAAACAACGGAGCACCTTAGCTAAGGTGTTCCGTTGTTTCCCTTTTCCCTGGTCACAGTCATGGGCTAGTGAGCCGTGGGTTCGAATCCTGGCGGGTTGAGGTGTTGATTGTATGTAGAAGTCCGCGTGCTATTGGGCTAATGAAATATATATATATATATATATATATATATATATATATATATATATATATATATATATATATATATATATATATATATATATATATATTTAATTATTTATTTATTTATTTAATATTATTTAATTTTTTCATGTAGATCCACAATGAAAACGTGGATAAGATAAATCTCGATAAAATCGGGGCCCGGACAAAAGCCCCTCAGTAAAAATGCAAAATAGGACAGAAGCCCCTGTTTTTATGTTAAAGAGAGGGTCATTAGAAATATTACAAATATATAGATTTAAATATGAAATTATTATAATTTAAATAATTAGAATATTATAACTCTTTCAATTTTGATATAGAACATTATTAAATAAATAGAAAAGAAAAAGACGACATATTTTACCTTCATGTTCATTCTGTATTTACTGAGGTGACCCAAAGGCCCAGTGAGGTCACTGAATGTCAGGGGAGTAATTACCCCAGTAGACAAAACATACGTCATTGCAGATTTAATAAACATTCCTTGTATACTTCCTCATAACTATAACAGAATTCCCGAAGGTTAGGTTAGGTTAGAGAAGTGTTCATAAGCTGCAAAAAAATGAAATAATTATTTAAAAAAATCTTATTATTTCTCCTGGGCGACTTTTGTCCTTGGGGGCTTTTGTCCTAGGAGGCTTTTGTCCTACACTCGATACAATCACACAGGGAAAAAGGAAACAATAGAGCACCTTAGCTTTCGTCTTAATTCAAGACATCTTCAGAGGCAACAGCTTAGAAGTGTACAAATGTGTCACAGAAAGACTTCTGGTTGAAGCTACTTTGAGTAGGGAATTGAATTCTATAAATCTTAGTGATGGTCAGTACAAAACTGATAATATGTTACACAAATTTATTTGTCAGTGGCCCAAGGTTAAAAATGCGAAATAAATGTGAAATAAATAAGGAATTAAAAACTGAGAGGAATACAAAAACTATTTGGATAGAATTAATCGACGGTAGGGAAAAATTAATCACAGGAGTAATATATAGACCTCCCAATCTTGATAGAGTCAATGAGAGACTTATCTGGGATGAAATGCGCAGGGCTTCCATACACAACAAAGTCTGTATAGTAGGCGACTTTAACCTTGGCCAAATAGATTGGACTGCCCTTTCGGGTAACTCAGAATCAGAGGATTTTCTCGAAACGATCCAGGACTGTTTCCTAAGTCAACATATAACCGAACCCACCCGGGGTAGTAATATACTCGATTTAGTTCTGTAGATCAGAGAAAACCTCATTAGCAATGTCGAGGTAGGGAACGAACTTGCAAACAGCGATCGCAAAGAAATTAGATTCCAGTTAGATTTTCAGGGCAGACTTAAGGAAAATTCCACTAAAGTACCAGATTTCAGAAGGGCAAACTTTGACAGTTTAAAGAGGCAGCTGAGAGAAGGGGTGTTGCGCTTGGGCGTGAACCTGACAAATGACGTCGACCTGATAACGAGATCTGAGATTGCCGAGTTCCACGACAATTTAAATAATGAGTTACTTAATGCACAAAGGCAAAACATACCATACAAAAAACTCAGATCAGACAACAATGACCCTAAATTGATAAATAATTATTTTAAGAACATCATTGGCCAAAGGAAGGCTATAGGTAGAAGGATAAATCGTGGCGAAATTTACCTCCAGGATTATTATAAGGTATTGGCGAGTAGGGTTAAAACCGAGATAAGGAAATCCAAGAGGAATAATAAGGTAAGGACAGCAAGGGAGGCTAAGAGAAACCCCAAAGGAGTCTACCAAATGTATCAAACTAAAACACGAGAAAAGATTGGACCAATACGGTCAGATACCGGCGAGCTCACTGACAACGACGGAGAAATGAGCAATAATTTGAATAAATATTTTTCAACAGTTTTCACCACCGAAAATTTAAACATGATACCCGAGGCACCGATTCTATTCAGAGATAGTGAAGAAAACAAATTAAGCGAGATAGTAGTGACTACTAACGATGTTAGTAAGTAAATAGACAAACTAAAGCCTAATAAGTCACCTAGTCCCGATGAGATATTTGCCAGAGTTTTAAAGGAATGTAGGATGAGCTTAGTATGCTCTTAGCAAAGTTGTTTAACATGTCCTTAAAAACAGGTGTAGTACCAGAATCCTGGAGGATAGCGAATGTAATACCGATTTTCAAAAAGGGGGATAGATCACTATCCTCTAACTACCGCCCAATCAGCCTTTAGATCAATTGTAGGCAAATTACTAGAATCAATCATTTCAAACTCTATTCGAAACCACCTGGAGAAGCACAAGTTGATCAATGATTCCCAACATGGCTTCACAAGCGGGCGTTCATGTCTAACTAATCTATTAACATTCTTTTCATCAGTTTTCGAATAGGTGGAAGAGGGGCACAAATATGATGTGGTATATCTCGACTTTAGCAAAGCCTTCGACAGAGTCCCCCACGAAAGACTAATGAGAAAGGTAGAAGCACATGGTATCAAAGGTAATATCCTTAAATGGATTAGGGCGTGGTTACAGGACAGGAAACAGCGAGTGAGCATTAACTGCACTAAGTCCCATTGTAGCAACGTCACTAGTGGAGTTCCCCAAGGCTCTGTACTTGGACCATTATTATTTATGATATACATAAACGACATAGATATCGGCATAGACAGCAACATAAATAAATTTGCTGATGACACTAAAATAGGAAGTGTAAATAGATCTGACGAGAACTCCACAAAACTACAGGAAGATCTAAAAAAATTTCTCGAATGGTCTGAAAAATGGCAGATGAAATTCAACGTGGACAAATATAAAGTACTCAGTATAGGAGATGTAAACAGGGAAACCAGATACCAGATGAACAACGATGTCATAGAGAAATTCGACTGCGAGAGAGATTTAGGATTAATGATAAGTACTGTAGGCACCTTAAGCAAATTAAACAATGTGTTTTTGCTCGTAACAAGGCTAATAAAGTGCTTGGGTTCACGGCGCCATAAGCTCATTGAAATATAACAGAGTCTAGGACTGCTTTTGTATCCTGGTGGTCCAGAAGGTAGCGTTCCCCGCTCACAGTCAAGGGCTCGTGGGCCGCGGGTTCGAATCCTGGCGGGTTGAGGTGTTGATTGTATGTAGAAGTCCGCGTGCTTTATTGTGCTAATGAAGTATATATGGATCCTCGTGTTTCGAAGCCGGATTTGGTAAAACGTTACTCTGACCACCTACGTGATACGGGTAGTCCCCATTAGAGGTTCACGGCGCCATAAGCTCGTTGAACAGGCTTTGTGTAAAATATAACAGTGTAGGACTGCTTTTGTCACAGTCATGGGCTTGTGGGCCGTGGGTTCGAATCCTGGTGGGTTGAGGTGTTGATTTTATATATATATATATATATATATATATATATATATATATATATATATATATATATATATATATATATATATATATATATATATATATATATATATATATGTGTGTGTGTGTGTGTGTGTGTGTAACAGTCTAAGATAACTTTCATGATTTCTTTTAATATAGTTTTTCAGTACTTTTAAAGCTGATTATGAGATTCACAGACTATAACTAAAGCATATTTGATGCCCTTCCTTATGTAAACTGCGGCGGGGAAGTCTCTTGGTGCTTCTTAATCACTTAAAAACCCTTTGAAGGTTAAATTGTTTCCATCGATGTAGGCAAATTTCGTAACTTAAGATGGAAGATAATGTACGATAGATTAAGATGTTAATATATATATATATATATATATATATATATATATATATATATATATATATATATATATATATATATATATATATATATATATTTCATTCTGCCCAATAGCATGCGGACTTTACATACAATCAACACCTGGCGCCAATTGAGGTGTTGATTGTATATATATATATATATATATATATATATATATATATATACATATATATATATATATATATATATATATATATATATATATATATATATATATATATATATATATATATATATATATATATATATATATATAAGCGGAATCGCTTTTTTCAGGGCGGCTCCATCGCTAGGCCACGGTAGGACGCTATCCTCCGGGAGGTTCCACATAGTCCCACTGTTCAGTTCCCAAAACTTCTCTTTCATCTAAAGTTCATTAACGGTTTATGTAAGTTCCACCATGTTTTTCACTGCAATGGTACAGCAAAGTATATTTTTTAGCATTAAACTGTTGTTATTTTATTGTCTAATCATCACTACATATAACACCACTCATCATCACTACATAACATCATTCATCATCACTACATATAACACCAACCATCATCACTACATATAACACCATCCATCATCACTACATATAACATCATCCATCATGGCTACATATAACACCATCCATTATCACTACATATAACACTATCCATCATCACTACAGATCGGTAAAGTAATTTCCGAGACTCGTGCGGACACACACATACACACAAACACACAAACAAACATACAGACATACTGAAGATGTCTTGAATACAGACGAAAGCTTAGGTACTCCGTTGTTTCCATTTTCCCGTGTGATTTTATCAAGATTTATCTTATCCACGTTTTCATTGTGGATTTACATGATATATATAT